TAAATATATGCAAAAAGTAATGGAATGTCTATAAAAAAGACTTAGGTATTAGAAGCTCTTACCGTTGTCATCAAAACCATGGGTGATTTCATGACCAATGACCATGCCAATGCCACCATAATTCAAGGATTTGGGCTGGGATGCACTGAAGAAAGGTGGCTGCAAAATGCCAGCAGGGAAGACTGCAAAAAAAGATAATATTCAAGGTGCTGCTTTATCTTTCGATGTACACAGCTTTAGTATGTAAGACATTTATGTGGGATCACTTTCAAGAATTGAACTTTTATTATTATGGAATCATTTATTATGGAATCATTTGAAAACTCTTGGCGCTCTGGTGTAGTGCCTGAAGACTGGAAGAAGGCCAATGTGGTGCCTATCTTCAAGAAAGGGAGGAAAGTGGATCTGGCTAACTATAGGCCCATTAGCCTGACTTCTATCCCGGGGAAGATCTTAGAAAAGTTTATTAAAGAGGCCATCCTTAATGGACTGGCCGACGTCAACATCTTAAGGGATAGCCAGCACGGGTATGTTGCGGGTAGGTCTTGCTTGACCAATCTCATTTCCTTCTACGACCAGGTGACCTATCACCTGGACAAGGGAGAAGAGATTGATGTCATATATCTTGACTTCAAAAAAGCCTTCGATCCGGTTTCCCATGATCACCTCTTGGAGAAACTGGCCAATTGTCGCCTTGGGCCCTCCACGATCCACTGGCTGGAAAACTGGCTCCGGGGTCGGACCCAGAGGGTAGTAATCGATGGAAGTCACTCATCGTGGTGTCCTGTGACCAGTGGGGTCCCCCAAGGCTCTGTCCTTGGACCCATACTGTTCAACATCTTCATTAATGATGTGGACACTGGAGTCAGAAGCAGACTGGCCAAGTTCGCCGATGACACCAAACTTTGGGGCAAAGCATCCACACCAGAAGACAGGCAGGTTATCCAGGCTGACCTGGACAGGCTCAGCAAGTGGGCGGACGAGAATCTGATGGTGTTCAACGCCGATAAATGCAAGGTTCTCCACCTTGGGAAAAAAAACCCGCAGCATCCTTATAGGCTCGGCAGTGCTATGTTGGCTAGCACTATGGAAAAAAGAGACTTGGGGGTCATCATTGACCACAAGATGAACATGAGCCTACAATGCGATGCTGCGGCTAGTAAAGTGACCAAAACGCTGGCTTGCATCCATAGATGCTTCTCAAGCAAATCCCGGGACGTCATTCTCCCCCTGTACTCGGCCTTAGTGAGGCCGCAGCTGGAGTACTGTGTCCAGTTTTGGGCTCCACAATTCAAAAAGGATGTGGAGAAGCTTGAGAGACCAAGGGAGGTGGTGCTCTCCCCTACCCTGGGGGTCTTCAAGAGGAGGATGGCTATGCATCTAGCTGGGGTCATCTAGACCCAGGACTCTTTCCTGCCTATGCAGGGGGTCAGACTCGATGATCCAGCCTGCCACCGGAGGTGGTTCAAGCGCCTTCATTGAACACCTTCAAGATGAAACTGGATGCTTATCTTGCTGGGATCCTATGACCCCAGCTGACTTCCTGCCCTTTGGGCGGGGGGCTGGACTCGATGATCTTCCGAGGTCCCTTCCAGCCCTGATGTCTATGAAATCTATGAAATCTATGAAATCATTTATATGGACTTCAGGGTAGAAGTCAAGCTTTTTTCTCTAGCCTCAAATATAGCAGCCCTGGTAAATAAATGTGTATATGGAAATGACTGAGGGGAAATTAAGCTAAAAGAGCAAAATAAAAAAATGGGGCAGGATGGGTGGGGGCAAAAGAGAACATCCCTTCAAACTTTTGTTCACAGGGTCCTAATTGGACTTTACCAGGGATCTCTGCTATTATTTTGCAGAACACAAAAAATAATTATATTTAACCATTTAATTGCATTTATCACCTTCAGACCTCAACATATCTGGTGAGATAGGGTACTCTAACAGGAGAATAACTGAGTTTTATGACAAGTCAAACCAAGAGTCATTGTCAGTGATAAGAAGATACTCTCCCACTGAAAGTATAAATAATACTCATTAGTGATTAGGTCATATTTGGCAATGTAGGAATTGGGCTACAGATTTCCTTTTAGCCAGTTCTGTGCTTGGTGCTCTAGATCATTAACAAGAGAATGGGCACAAAAACCCACAATGCAATTGCGACATTTTCCTTCGAGAATGAAGAATTATATATATTCAACTTTCCCCCACAAATTCTGCTCAATTTTGTATTCCATGTAGGTCTTGTCTTATATTATGCACATTTTAATGATATCCCAGAATAAAAGTATTAATTCCTGTCATGAATTCCTGTCTGTAGTGAGCATGAGCCATAATTTTCTCATATCACTACACCTTTAATGTAAAGAGAATGTCCAAATGCTAATTACTGTCCATGCTAATTATTTTCAGGAGATATTGAGAGTAATGACAAAAATGTATTATCACTACAGATACTTCCCACATCAGATGAATATACTCCTATGGGGAGAAGGCCACTGCTATTGCTCAGAACTACACATAGATGGCTTGAGAATTGCACTAGTAATTTTTTTTTTTACTTGTCCAAATCCAGGACTACAACTGAGATCTCCTGAGTTGCAGGCTGCCCTATGTATAAACCACAAGACTACCCTCCCTTTCTAAAATAGCATTTTTATATTGGGAATAGGCAGGAGAAATTGAGCACAAAGCTCTCTGCAGGTTTAGCTGGTGAGCTCATGCTCCCTGACAGATTCCTGCTCAGCTCAGCTCAGGAAACTGCTGCCCTCAGGGCCTTCACAGTTCAGTTTATTTAACATTCTGCCACCACGTCCACTCACATACTAAACTGCATTCATTGATTTGTTTTTTTAATCTTCCCCGCCCTAAGAGTGTAATTGATTCTATGACTGCTATCACATAACAAAAGTCCAGACTTAAGTACTCTACTTCCTAGTACAGGAATGAGGTATGATTAGAGTATATGCAGCTGTTTACAGGCATAAAGAAGATGTGTATATGTTTCAGTGATGTGCTGTGCAGAGATGCCTGCCTAGGCTAGCTTGGATACTAAAAGCAGTATGACTGTTTAAGCTTGGCCCTCTGCTCAGTTAAATTAGCTCTACTACTTTAATAAGCCTGAGCAGAGAGCCATGCTATTTCAGCTATATTACTTCTATATCCTGAATTTGCTCATTGAGAGCTAGTTCGGATACTCCTGCATGATGGTGCATTTTGCCAGGTAGATGTCTCCTAAGAGCTGGACTCTGCTGAGCTGTGTGTGTGCAAGATGAGAGAAGGTAGCAGGTATTGCTTCACATGTTATGCAGCCCTGCAGAAGGGCAGAACACAGCCATAGTCCCTGTATTCTGAGATTTACAGGAATGGCTTTGTCCAGGCATTTCCATGATATTCCCTAAAAGGAATGGACATGGGTTTACCCTCTTCTGCCAGAAGAGAAGTCTGGGCATGTAGGAGGTTCTATGGAGCCCCACCTGAAGACTTGTAGTCTGGCCCAGGATTCCCCCTGCAACTGTGGCAAATTAGGGAGCATTCTGTTGGAGGGAGAGTGCCTCCTAAGGTCCTGATGTGGTAGTGCAGATCAACAAGGAGCAATGATCTCAAGTTGTCGCAAGGAACATTTAGGTTAAATACTACAAAAAACTCTCACAAGGAGGGTAGTAAAGCACTGAAACTGGCTACTCAGAGAAGTTGTGGAATCTCTATCCTTGGAGGATTTTAAGACCTGGCTAGACAAAGCCTTCTCTGGGATAATCTAGGTATAGATGGTCATGATTTGAGCAGGGGGTTGGTTGGGTTGACCTCCTGAGGTCCCTTCCAACCCTAAGTTTCTATGATTCTAACATACTGTGGTACAGAGCTGTATGGAAGTGTTAGTATGTTACAAATCTACTTCAAACCTCAACTTTAAAGATCATGCTGCTTTAATTATCCTGCGACATGCCATTGCTGAAGGATGAGGTAAGAATTTATGGCTCAAATTAACCTCCAGTCATCAGCTTCAACCTTCCAAATTATGATTCCTGTTCCACTCATTACTTAGCAAAGCTATTTTAAACAAAGCTTTGTGAGCAGATTTTTATGCTGAATGTTGAAATGCACTTTCAAAAGGTTTGTTTGGCCTTATCACCCTTACAAAGTAGAGACCTCATCCTGTACTCCTTACTCAGGCACAAACTGGTCAGTGAAGTCAATCAGCTTCTGTCTGAATTAGGCATACACTATCATTACCTCATATTGCTCATTGGTTACAACAATGTTTTTAGGAGCTCTCACACTCATTGCTACGTAATCATGATGTGGTAGTTTTGCATTCCTGATGTTTGGGTGATCATTTACCTTGGTGTTAATCTGTGTACATTTAAACTTCACCCCTGCATATTTAATTTACTAATGAGTCTAAATGGAACTCACTCAGAACAATGCAAAACTGCAAATTCCATATGATTTTGATGCCAGAAATGGGCTTAGATTCACTGGACAAGTTTGAAAGCTTCAGTGAGCATCAAACAAGTTTTGAGTGTGGGGTGAAATGCGAAAACAGCCGAGTTCTCTCGTGCTTTTGAGCTCTCATGCAAACTGGTCAAATGAAGATGGGCCTTCACTCAGCTGTATCAGGAGTAGGTCAGTAGGAGCCTTCCTTCACTTCCCATCATGCTTGCCTCCTCTGTGCCAGAGCTAACAACATTAAAACTATTGCCTTCTAGTGCTTATGACGGCAATTCTCATAAAAGATGGGGAATGGTGAGAAAGCTGGGATCACATTTACAGGGTTATAGTCAAAGTATTATCTGTTTAATTAAAATTCAAGCTCTGGAAGAGCAAGGGGCTGCTTAAAGACAATCTAAAAAGGTCTAACTTCTTAGTGGGAAGAAGCAATTTCTTTTTATATAATCTCATCAATTTAGAAACATGCTTGGAAAATATGACTACAATTCCAGTTCTCTTTCATTCTAAGTCTGTACTTTCAAAATCAATGGGAAAAGAAACAAGGCATATATGATCAAGGACACTCAATTAAGTTTTATTTTACTTTGGATAGAAAATACCTGGCAGACCACTTTTCACCCTGATTGAATATTTAGTTTGGAAAACAGAAGTAGGATTATAAAAGAAGGTGTAAGGTTTTTTTTTCCAGTGGTCAGTTATCCCTGGCAATGAAAACCATAGTATGCCACTAACACATTTTCCATAAAAAAGTTTTATCCATAAACAACTTATTTCTTTGTTGTGCATGGACTGCAGGATTAGTTCCATTTCTTTTGCCAACATGGTATAGATTTGTTTTCAGGTAATATTAAGAATTATACATGGACTATGGTATGTCCAGGAGAAATCGGGAAAAACAGAGTCTGTCTGGGACTGTTCTTTCTATCTTGGAATTCCATAAGAAGCAAGAGATTGAATGGTGTCACTGAGATGGAAAGGTAGAAATCAGGCTTGAATCAAAATACATATGGGGGTCCAGATTCTCTGCTGTACCTAGATAGACACAGCAGTATGGAAGAGGGTTTCTTAGGTAAGCAGCTATGATTCCCTAATTCTTTGTCCAAGTCCAGCCACAGCGCCATCAGGACCAACGGTACAGCAGGATGGAACTGTTCTAACTTGTGTCAGTTAGCTCTAGTTGGAGGGCTACTTCCAGGCCTTTTCCTGACTGGTTACTCCTGACATGTCTCCATGTAACAGAGGCATATGTTTGGAAAAAAGACATATGTTTAACCTCTGCTTCTACTGGAACTTCTCCTCAGCCAGAGGGAATTCCCAAATTTGCAGGAGCTTTGCAAATAGTTTCTTATATAATATAAAAGGAAGCAGAATGTTCTGTCCCAAGCTCCTCCATTTAAGAAGTAAAAAAATGCATAGCACCTTGGAGCATGGCTTCTGGCTAGGGTCAGGTGAGTTATACCTTTGTCATGAATACCTGAGTGACTGAGAGAAAATCCCTTTAGTCCCCTGTGCTTCCATTTCTCCATTTATAAAACAAGTATAAAAACATACCTTTGAGAGGCGGAGTTAGAGACATAGCTGGATAGACTCTGTTGACTGTCTGTGTACTGTGAATGGAACCCGTAGTATAACACCTACTGAATCTACTTTGTAGGGATATTGCAGGCCTAAACCAATATCTTTAAAGTTCTTTATGATCCTAGGATGAAAGAGCCTGCATTGGTGTTAATTATGCTGCTGTTAGAAGCAGGAGGGAAACCTCACACATTTTCTGAATTACTACCATGTTCTATTCTTCAGATCTAACATTTTCACATTTCTTAAAAATATGGTTCCTCAGCTATTCCCAAATTATTTGTAACCATGGAGAGTCCTGCATAGGCTGACCCTATACCCTAAAGCAAGGGTACTTGAGACGGCCCTAGAGAGTACGGGTGGGTGGGTGAGGATGGAGCGCTGCCACACAACATCCCACGCTGTGGCGCAGGTGCCACCTGCCCAGCCGGATGCGGAGGGGTGGGGGAAGGTCACACACATTCGTGCATGTGCCACCCCCCCCACTCGGCATCTGGCCACGTGTCGTCCCCCCTGCCCTCCCAGCGTCTGGGGGTACACTGCTCCACGTCCGGCCGCTGTGGGTACAATGATCTAAAAAGTTTGAAAACCCCTGCCCTAAAGCATTGCTGAAGTTATTTGCTTTTTTCCCCTTTCCCTCTGATATTTTTTTCTTAGTCTTATCTGCCTGATTGACCTTTTATTTTTTCCAATACAAGGGAAACTAGTATTAATAGAAATGAAACATTGGAAAGAACATAAGCTTTAAGTCACTTGACAGATGACGTGTTTCACTGGAATGGGTTCAAAGGTCTCACATTCAACAAGATATTACAGAGCCACACTTAAGAAAATGCATTGGGTAGTAAAGTTTGAGATGAACAATGTTGAATTGTTCCAGCCACACTGAAAGTACTGAATCCCCAGCCTTGGGACAGGCCATCTGAAGGGCCCATATTGAAACCAGGACACCCAGGTATGAATCTCTCCCAGAGCTGGGGACCTTGAAAGCCTGTGGAAGAAGGGAAACTGTAAAATGAGGATAGGTTAACTCAGAAAAGTAAAATGAAGTACGTTCCAGCATTAATTGGGACCATATTTTATTACCCCAACAAAATGGTCCCTCCCACAGCTGCACCGTAAGTCTCCTTTTCTTAAGCAAGGATCCTCCCTTGTTCTACCATACTGGGGCCTTCTGCACTCTTCAGGCTACTGCACATGCTTCAGCTTTCAGTTTAAAAAATATAACCATGTCATAAAGGAATTTAGTTAACCTTACCTATCTGATTTCTGCTTGCAGAATAAAAGGCATTGACTACAGCAGCTCCACTTATCCACCTAGAGAATATACAGAAGAAATCTAGTTAGAAAAAGATTTTCACAACAAGATTAACTGAACACTGGAACAGAATTAGAGAGAGAACCTCCTCTTCACCATGTATAACCAGTTAGAGATGATAGATTTCCTTTTTACTGACACTAACATTTCACAGGCAAAATTTCCAACTCACAAAAAGCCTTCATAAATTCAGATTGTATACTATAAAATAATGACAGATAGCAGAGTAGATTTTTATGTTTCCTCAATGTTTGGGATTCATAAAACTTATTTATTTCATGACACCAGTATTTTCAGAATCTGCTGTTAAAAATAACTGCCTGAAGGTGGAGATTGAATTTGATTCTATGGTCATTACCTGAACAAACCTTCTAATCAAACCAACAAGAATTTTCTTAAGTCAGTCAACAGCATTGAGTTCCATTTACTATTCTTCAAAGGGACCAGTTATTATAAATCCTGAGAATCCACTCGTCATCTGTAGTGATAATTGTTCCACATATTTTATTTATAAGTATCTCAGCATCAGTAATCCCCATATCACAAATATTAATGAAGTATGAGTGGAATGGAGGAAACTTTTATGACCTCCTTTTTCCAGAAATGGAGACGCAGACACAAGGATATCAGCTGTCTGCAGCAGAGCCAAGAATTCTTGAATTCTGCAAGCCAATATCTTCTCCCCTGGCAGAGGGTAGGGTGTTCAGCACATTTACAGGGCCATGCCCATTGCACAGGAAATACTTGAAACATCTTTGCCTTCTTTACAGGTGTACATTTCCTGCTGCCTTTCAGGGGTAGTCAGTTTAGGAAGCTTTCCTAGTTTAACCCCTTCAGTAAGGATGTTTCTATATTATGACTAGTGACTGCAGTCAAAAAAGACTGGAAAAGCTGCCAGTAAGAGTGGTACAATGAACAGTCCTGCAAAATGAAGAGGCTTAGATTAAATGATCCAAATAGTAATTTCTGGCCTTTTGCTTTATGAGCAAAATTCACTTCTACAAACCTGTTTAACCAGGAAAAGTAGTAACAGGGATTTAGGAAATGCAGCCAAATGCTTTTCTAAATTAGGGCCTGAGCCAGTTTTCAAAAGGTGCAAAGAAACTTGCAGTATTGAGACCTAAGGATGAAATTCACACTTGCAAAGGTTGGAAAAAATCTTACACACCAATTAAGTGTGTAAGATTTCAAGACCTCAAGATAGTAATTAAGGAGGTCTCAAGCAGTACTGTCCACATAGGGTTTATTTCACTGTAAAAGATTTATTTAGAAAAGTACCTTGGAAGATACCTTTATTCTAATACTTTCAGATGACGATAAAGCAGCCATTGTGGACATTTTGGCAGGCGATGCCTAAGAATTCACTGCAGTCAGATTGGCAGAAAGAGGGTGTCTGTCATTAATTTGGGATTTATGCTACATGAGGTCGAAGTCATAAAGATGCCTGAAAACTTTGTGTTTTGAATGACTGGGAAAATTTAATATACTGAACCATCACAGAAGCAAAATATATTCAGGGTGCATTTACATGAGACATTTACTGCGCAGTAGACTAATTAGCTGAGTAGTAAATGTTGCACATCTACCCATGCCTCATTATGCTATTTATGGAGTATAATCTTACAGACAAGGAGCTTAAGGAACCACGGTCTGGTTTGACATGAGAAAACATCAGCCACTAAGTCACAATCTTTGAATCAACTCAACAAAATGCATGTTCTTTCCATCCTGGTATGCATCAGCCTTGAACATTTTCTCAAGAGCTGGACACAGAAAAAGCTTTATAATTTCATTTTTTCAAGCTTTCAATTTCAGGATATCCTAGTGAAAGAAGAGCTGCACTCAGTTCAGAGAATCGAAGTGGGGAATGAGGCACTGTATTGTAAGAGCAGAGTTTCAATAACACTACATAAGGCCAGTGGGTAACAAAGCAGTGTAAAAAAGGATTGCCTAGGGAGATGTGCAGAAGGTTAGCAGCTAGGTTAATGCATTCATATTTCCAACTGGACAGAAGAAAAAACTTGATCAATTGTTTCAGGTCTGCAACAGTAAGATGCTATGTCATTAAATTAAGTTACCTAAATAAATGTCAGAGGAACTTTTTAGGCTTAAAATAGGCCTTATATACCTAGTTAGGGCTATTCTTCTACACACTAATTTAGCTTCCTTATACTAAAATGATTCTCTAACTTGACATATGTAATCAATTTTATCAACTTCTTATTTTACACAATCTATGTAATAGCCAGATCTTGCAGATCTCCCTCTGGCTGCATTGTTCCTCTCACCGGATTTGTATTTCAAGGATAAACGTGTCTGAAGTGAATTAAATTTCTTCAGTCTCTCTAGACAGCAATTCATGGTTATTCTCACCTTTACACTTTACAAGATTAAGCCCTCAAAGAACCCAATAATATACATTCTCAATTGTTCTTGTTTTTTCATTGTATATTATGTAAATAAGTAATAATCCTTCCTATCCTGATGAACACTCATGCACCTTTTCCTTCTTGAATTCTTATCAACCTTAAAAAAACAATCATGAAAAGACATTGGAGGAACACCAGTCTCTAAGAATTTCTACCCTGACTTAGAGTTCAATCCCGCATGTGGCTGCATGTGAAAAGTCAGAATGCTATTACTCTGCTTACAGTGTTTAATTAACCTGTGTGCAGAAAATCCTACTCATGGAAACCTGCCAACACATCTCCACCACTCCCACAATAACTACACCCCACAACAGAATGATCACCATTCCTGGATCTTACACCTGCACCTCCAGAAATGCAATACATCTCATCCAGTGCACTAAATGTCCTGATGGAACATATGTAGGGGCAACCAAACAACAACTGCATAACAGAATGAACGCACACTGCAAATCTATCAGAGACAAAGATACCCAATTACCTATGGCTGCACACTTCTCACAAGACAACCACTCTCTCTCCAATCTCAGTTCTAATCCTCAAAGGGAATTTACAAAAAACTCTTCATAGATGAGCCTATAAACTTCATTTCATAAATCCACTGGCTATAAAAATAATGGACTAAATATAGACATTGGATTTATGGCACATTATAACCTGCCTGACATCTGATAACCCTAGATAACCTCTCTACATTTTACCAGCTACATTCTATCAACAGGTCAACCTTCCACGCCCCCACCTCCACACATACCTACCTGCCTGTCTCACACCTTTTGTCTCCCATTGTCTCTGATCCTCACTGCCATTTTCACAGAACTGCATTTTGCATATTGGCTTCTATTCCACCCAGGAGAACACAGAACACCAGCAGTCTCTCCCTATGTTTGTGCCCAAAAGCTTGCAAAGAACAATTTTTCTAACTATTTAGTTGGTTTAATAAAAAATATCACATTTATCCAAGGAACCTTGTCTGCCTATGTCCTTAGACCAACACCACTACAACCAACCCAAAAATCCAACTCTCACACTTGGAAGAAATAGACACTGTGCTCATAAGTGGTAACGATTCTTTACAGCCACTAGAGAACTGGGGAGATGATGATAGAAGGTACAAATTGGCAACCAGTTGTTGCTCACTTTAAACATGAAGTGGTTGAAAAAATAAAAATTTCAAATACATACTCTTCCTTGTCCACATTTTCTTTGAGCTTCTTCAGACGTTTCTTTTGGTTAAATAACAAATTTTGAATGATGTTCTCAAAGTACTGATCTTCTTGGTAGTTCAGCTAAAAAGAGAGAATGTAATTAGTTATATTCAATTGCTACAGAAAGAAGGAATGGGGTTTGAAAGTCATAGGCTAAGCCTGGTTTGCAGTGTTCTGTCACATCATTCAGTTGATATAATGGCTAGATCAAAATGAAACATTACTGCATGGCCTGCTGCAGATTTAGGGCCTGATTCTGCCCTACTTGGACTGAGTTGTATCTTACTCTTGGAATTACCTTAATTGAAATGACCCCCTCTGGTAAGGTATTATCTCATATGAGGAAGCGTGTCAGAATCTGGTCTCTTGATTATTTTGAGAAGATATTTTAAATGGTGCTATAACTCTATGTGCTTTCCTGCATCAAAAGTATTAATTCCAATAAAATAACACTTTCTAACTGATATCTCAACATGTTTTATATATGTTATTTCTGCAATTTATCTGTGAGGTGGAAGGGTATTTTTGTCCAGATTTTGCTATTGAAAAAATGGTGATAGGTTTGGTGACTTACACAAGTCACTGATTCAACCCTGATATACATGGACAAAACTGATTTGGGTTCCATAGAGCTAAGACACAGAGTCAGTGTTAAAATACAAACTATGGCAGATTTGGAAGTATCAGACCTTGCTGCCACTGTTGAGCACAGAAAACTATGTTGTTCCAGTGTTATGCTGTGTGACACCATTGGGATCTGCATATATGCACCATCTTTCTGGCATACCTTGACTGATGCCGCAGGCAAATTACACCGAAGCCTCCACTGGAACATCTGTGTTACGCTATATATTATAGGGTATCAGACAACTCCCCACACTCCTTCCTCCTTTGCACAAGAACTCAGGATCTAGGTAGCTCAGGTAGAAGTGGAGTCTTACTCCTTTGCATGACTTTGCATAGACAAAGGCCTGAGGCCGGGTACTGTGATACCTCCAAAGCTTGCCTATGTCTACACCAACCACACACATAACCATAACCATAGTCCAATAAAATATATCATTGAAAATTAGGGTTGGAAGGGACCTCAGGAGGTCATCTAGTCCAACCACCTGCTCAAAGCAGGACCATCCCCAACCACATCATCCCAGCCAAGGCTTTGTCTACCCAGGTCTTAAAAACTTCCGAAGATGGAGATTCAACAAGCTCTCTGGGTAACCTGTTCCAGTGTTTTACTACCCTTCTTGTGAGAAAGTTATCACCCACAAGAATTCTTGCCTTTTGCATAGACAGGTATTTTAAGTCACAATCTACCTCTTAGAAGTCGCTTTTAATCATTCTTTACAGTGTCTTTAAGGATACTTACCTCTTGATATTCACTATTCAGCTTATTATCATCTGTCAGGATTTCATCTGGGTAGCCAATCTTTTCTCTAATTGCTTTAGCCTAAATGAAAAGATAATATTTAGATTATTCTGTCTTCATTAAATGGAAATCCAAATCCAGCTATACTTTAGATGATTGGATACTGGGTAACATAACAGATGTTTACAGGTTCCTTTGTAGAAACAGTTGTGAAAGAGCCAGGAATTTCACTGTATCTGGTTTTTGCTGAAGTGTCTTTATGCCGTGAAAGGATTGCTCATTCTAACTGTTATTTAGTTTATGACACTGGAAGAATGTAGACAAGGCATTCCATTTAATGGAAATGTTATTTTTATTAAACTTCATATAGAAGCAAGATTCCGGGTTTCAGTAGCAGCTTAAAATGAAATATCCATTCAAATTATCTGAAAACTTTCCCAATGTATTTGACACATTCAATTTGTGTTTAAGGCAGACACAATATTAATAATTAATATATTTGTAACTGTAGCTAAAGCACAAAGAAAGGTCTTATTAATGTTGTTGAACACATGTGGATAAATGGGAACCAAATGAAAAAGTGTACCTGAACTTTTGGGACCAGGTGTTATCAGAAACTACAATTGAATCTGGATCCAAACTTTACAGCTGTCTCTTATGTCTATAGTAGAGAAAACCAAACCATGAATTTAAATGTCCTGAACACTGAGAGGTTTGTTTGAAATCTGGATCCAAGATTTCTGCCCAGTTCCATTCAGAGCCCATTATGTGGTGTAGTTAAGTACTCATTTTTATTTGATGCTAATGTCACAAATGATAAAAAGCCACAAGACAGTAAAGGTCTCCTTGGCAATCTTTTCTGATTTTTCAATATAAAAATGCCACAGTGAATTTAACATTTAAACCTGCTTAGCTGATGCAGGTTTAAGGAATTTCTGACTCTCGTTAGGCCCATAAACAAGTAAGCAATGTAAAAAAACACATGTGAGTACCCGTGGGTAGCTAATGCTAATGACTTTTCATAAAGGTTCTGACTTGACATTTAATTAATTTAATCAAAGCCTTTTCCATATGAAACTGCAAACATTTTTTGTAGGTTGCATAGGCTTAAGGTTGTATGTAATAAGTCTTCTACAGCATGGAGTATTTTGGGCCAGACTCATTACACTGTTGAACTGCTGATATATATCATAACTGATCAGTCCCTATGTATTTGGATGTACATATGATAAATTGAATTTTGCAGCCTATTACAATACTAGAAAACCTCCTCTAGACCACACACCTTTTAGTTGTCACCTACTATCCCACACTCAAACCAATAAGAAAGATCATCAAACAATTGAAGCTTATACTCAAGAAGAACCAGACCTTGAGAAAAATATCCCCAGCCTCTTCCCCCTCCACTCCAGCCCCACCTCATGCTTGGTCTTCAAATAGCTCCCAATCTTGCCCAATCCAATCATCAGGAACATACTCGCCTCTGATCAAATCTTTCCTCAGCAATAAATGTGAGATCTGTTATTTCATCTCAACTGTCATCAGGAAACCATGAGAACCCACAAGTCATGCATGTCTAACTCAGAATGTGGTATATCTCATCCAGCACACCAAATGTCCTCATGATAACTATGTGGGTAAAAACAGATAAAAACTATGCACCAGAATGAATGGTGGCACAAAAAGATAAAGGACAGAGACACTAAAATGCAGGTAGGAAAACAATTTTCACGGAATAATCACTCTGTTTGATCTTGCTGCTTGCAGACGTTAACAACCCCCCCCAACGGTACTTTATTTTAAACTCGGCATGATCCCACATCTGTATAGCCCAGCACATGCCAAGCACATACCCAGAAGAGGCAGCACATTAGTTGGACCTGGATCACCCAATGTCTGTATAGACTGAGCACTTCAGTGGGGCTTTTTTTGGCACTTTTATCTAATAGCTGATTGAATCAGATTTAGTTTAAAGTGTCAAAAAGCTCTGCTTAAGAGCCTGATCTACACAGATGCTGCGGAGCCAACTTGAAGTAGTGCACTGCTTCTTTCAGTAAAGCGCCGGGGGTGGGGAATGTCTGCAAGCAGCCACACTTCTCATGCACAAGGGGAATTTAGAACACACCTTCAAAAAGAGTAGACTGGGAACAAAAATTAATTAGCCTATTGTATGCTAGAAAACAAAGACTTATAATGGACTGTGAAATTATTGTCTGTGTTAATTGCTAAATTCTGCACTTCACAGGTGAAAACAACCCTTCTAAACGATTCTTGCTCTCCACTCATCAGGTTTTTACTATATATCTCATCTGTTGGCTACCTGATAACTTCTCTTATATCCTGTTTTTATTTACATATACTAGCCAATTGCCTGTCAAGAATGACGGGCCTGGGCCCGCTCTCCCCTTCCCTCCTGCTGCTTGGGGGTCTGGGCCTGTTTCCCCCCCTCCCCGCTGCAGTGGCAGGGGGAGGGGAGGAGTGGGCCTTGGTGGGGGGATGGGAGGAGTGGGCTTGGGGCTGACATGGGGGAGGAAGGGTTGGGGAAGAGTGGGCATGGGCCTGAGGGGGACAGGAGGCCCACTCTTCCCCTCCCCCAGGTGCGGTTGTATCAGACTGCGTTGGACTGGGCCTGCTGCTCCCCCCCCACCACCGCATTGGGCCCACTCCTGGCCCCCCCTCCCCGTGTCAGGCCTGGGCTCACTCCTCCCCTTCCCCTACTGCCACTGCCGCTGCCTTGGCCGCTCTTCTTCACACTCAGCCAATCAGAGCATGAATAAAACGTTACAGACAGACAGACAAATTAAGGCTTTTATAATATTAGAATGGAGTTTTACACAAGTCCTTGTTTCACCTAGATTCAGCTCTGCTGCTCCTGCCTCTCCCAGAGACCTGAGGCAGAGTACTGTGATACCTAAAAACTTTTCTAAATCTATCCCAACCATGAAGTTGATCCAATAAAAGATAAGAGCAACAAAAACTCGAATTTTGCATTTGCGTATCCATATTAAGTGATCAATATAGACCATATTCTAATATGCTGTGAAAGGCACCAGTAAAATATATACCATTCCTGGCCTAAAAGTAGTGGGGAAACTAGCTGAAAGTCCTGGCCTTAATGTTGCAATAACTACGTTCTACTTTATATACTGTATAATCTAAGTCTTTCTGAAAAACTGTTAATGTTGCAGAATTTTTTTTAATTTTGTTTTTAAAAGTTTTGAAAAATGTTGAATTCTCAACAAAATGTTATGATTGTAAAATTATGATTAAAAAAAAAATAAAATCCAGAACTATAGCAGTTTTTAAAAAAAATCCACAAGGTCGTCTTTTTTTAAATTAGTATTTTTGGAAGAAAAGAAACAATAAAATGGTAATATTTGGAAAACTTTCAAACAGGTCTAGAATCTTACAAATTAGAGTTGGAAACTATTCTATGTGGTTGTTTGGCGCTACCAGTACAGCACTGTCTATCATACTTGTCTATTGAAATGTGCCGTCTATCTCTTCCCTTAGAAGACTATTTTGCAGATTTCACTGTAGAGAAGTAATATACAGCTGAATTACTTCCTTTCTTTATTCCATCTCAATAATACCTCAGCCATTAAAGCCCACTGAATCACCCCAAATAGTTCTTCTCTATGATCTCTCATTATTTCCTTCAGATGCAATATTTGTAGTGAGCTATAACTTGCCCTTTGCCCCTGGTACAGCCTGATAGTTCTCAAACTTTTCTATGAAATTATACCTTGGTCTATGTCAGGCTACTCCTGGAATGCCCTTTCCATCTAGCTAGGACCAAACAGACATTTCCCCTTCATTCAGCAATGGATGGTCAGTGTGGTTGTGACCTTTTGGTACCTGTTCACTACTGCCAGTTTCAGAACTCAGGAATTATTCAAATCACACATAGGAACCTATGCCTGGAAGAGACTTCCAAGGCCACAGAGTCTAGCACCCTGCATTTGCAGTTAACCATTTGTTCAAAATGGTCCACAAGAACATTCACTCTAGTTTCTCTTGCGCACCATAGGCACAAAGTACTCTATGAAAAACACAGACAACATGCTGCATGGGAAAAAGGATACCACCTTGCAGCAATTCCTGGCCACTGCAGTCTTCTAAAGGTTAAAATAGAGTCACAGAATTATAGAAAATTAGGGCTGGAAGGGACCTCAGGAGGCCATCCAATCCAACCCCCTGCTTAAAGCAGGATCGTCCCCAACTACATCATCTGAGCCAAGGCTTTGTGTAGCCAGGCTTTAAAAACCTCCAAGGATGAAGATTCTACCATCTTTCTGGGTAACCTGTTCCAGTGCTTCCCTATGCTCCTTGTGAGAAAGTTCTTCCTAACATCTAACCTAAATTTCCCTTGCTGTAACTTGAGACCATTGCTCCTTGTTATCTGCCACCACTGAGAACAGTCTCTCTCCATCCTCTCTGAAATCACCTTCAGGTAGTTGAAGGTTGTTATCAGATCCTCCCTCAGCCATCTCTTCTTCAGACTAAATAAGCCCAGTTCCCTCAGCCTCTCCTCAGAAGTCATGTACCCCAGCCCCCTAGCCATTATGCTAAAATTGATCCTAGGAGAGCATTATTCTCCTATTTAAAAAAAGACAAAACTAACAACAACAAAGCTTGCCAATGCTCCTTGTCCATCCATTCCAGGGAAAATTCTTCCTTCATTCCAAATCTAGCAATTAGACCATGCATGCATGAGCTAAACCCACCAGGCAGAAGCCACTGAGGTGCCTAAATATTTCTCTTACACTTCCCTCATCAATCATTCCTGGTTGATATGAAACACTATTCTGACCCATGAAGGCCCATCCAAGCCTAATGACCTATTTGCCTAGTATGGCTAAGGCACATATGAGAGTTGCCAACGTTATGTCTTGACACCTTTGATCAGTACTTTTACATCTGGGTCAAATGGGGGCAGCAGCCTTTGGGAAGAGTCCAGACACAGGGCTTGAACTCATGCTGTCAGAGAAATTGCTCTTGTCATCACACCCCTAACTCTGATATACAGAGCCTTAAAAACTAGAGGTACTGCATGGATTTGTGATTGCTTCACTCTAAAAGTTCGGAGCATTCTATGTGGCAGAGTTTAAGTCTTATCAATTGATTAGAAACTGACACTGGTCACATCTACATGAGATGCCAACTGTGCAATCATCCCTGCACATTCATTTAATACTTGTATAAATAAGTACTTCATTTAGTATAAACAAGTACTAAATGACTGCGCAGTAAACCAAGTTACTACACAGTAGCACTGACAAATGGCTTTTTACTGACACTACTGCACAGTAGCCCCGAGACTACTGCGCACTGTGTCATGGGTTCTTTACATGACACTACCATGCAGTAGATTTCATAGATTTCATAGACATTAGGGCTGGAAGGAGCCTTGGAAGATCACTGAGTCCAGCCCCTTGCACCAGGGGCAGGAAGTCAGCAGGGGTCATAGGATCCCAGAAAGATAAACATCCACATTTCTCTTGAAGGTGTTCAAAGTAGGTGCTTGAATCACCTCTGGCAGCAGTCTATTCCAGACCTTGGGGGCTCAGACAGTAAAGAAGTTCTTCCTTATGTCCAGACTGAAATGGTCCTGAAGAGTTTGTGACCATTTGACCTTGTCATCCCTTGGGGTGCTCTGGTGAACAGACATTCCCCCAGATCCTGGTGAGCACCCCTGATAAACTTATAGGTGACCAGATCACCCCTGAGCCTGCGCTTTTCCAGGCTGAAGAGTCCCATATCTCTCAGCCTCTCATCGTAAGGTCTGTTTTCCTGACCTCTGATCATGCACATGGCTCTCCTCTGCACTCTCTCAAGCTTCTCCACATCCTTTTTGAATTGTGGTGCCCAAAACTGGATGCAGTACTCCAGCTGCGGCCTCACCACGGCCGAGTACGATGGGAGAATGACATCCTGGGATTTGCTTGAGAAGCATCTGTGGATGCAAGCCAGTATTTTGCTTGCTTTATTAGTCACAGCATCACATTGATGGCTCATGTTCATCTTGTGGTCAATCATGACCTACAAGTCCCTTTCATCCATAGTGCTAGCCAGCATAGCACTGCTGAGCCTATAAGTATGCTGCGGGTTTTTCTTCTCACGGTGGAGAACCTTGCATTTTTCGGTGTTAAACACCATCAAGTTATCGTCTGCCCATTTTCTGAGCCTGTCAAGGTCAGCCTGGATTGCCCTCCTGTCCTCAGGTGTGGATGCTTTACCCCAGAGTTTGGTGTCATCGGCAAACTTGGCCAGTCTGCTTCTGATTCCAATGTCCACATCATTAATGAAGATATTGAATAGCGTTGGCCCAAGGACAGAGCCTTGAGGCACCCCACTGGTCACAGCGCATCACAACAATTGACTTGTCAACCATCACCCTCTGGGTCTGACCATGGAGCTAATTCCCTAGCCAGCAGATCGTGGTGAAGTTGAGGCTGCAGTTGGCCAGTTTTGCTAAGAGGTGATCATGGGATACCAGATCAAAGGCTTTTTTAAAGTCAAGATATATGACATCAATCTCTTCTCCGTTGTCCAGGTGATAGGTCATTTGGTTGTAAAAGGAAATAAGACTGGTCAAGCAAGACCTACCCGCAACAAACCCGTGCTGGCTATCCCTCAGGATGCTGTCATCGGCCAGTCTGTTAAGAATGGCCTCTTTGATAATCTTTTCTAAGACCTTCCCCGGAATAGAGGTCAGGCTGATGGGCCTGTAGTTTGCCAGATCCACAGTCCTCTCCTTCTTGAAGATAGGCACCACATTGGCCTTCTTCCAGTCTTCAGGCACTTCATCAGAGCACCAGGAGTTCTCAAAGATCCGTGCCAGATGCTGAGCTATGATGCCTGCCAGGTCCTTGAGTACCCTGGGGTGTAAACTGTCAGGGCTGGCTGACTTGAAGATATCCAGCCTCTCAAGGTGTTCCTTCACAAGGTCAGCATTGATGGAGGGTAAGGAATCACCCTCACCCAGGTGTTCCTGTCCTGTAATGGGCAGGGGCACCCCTTGGGACTGGTGAAAAATTGTAGTCTCAAGCTACTGCACAGTCAGTGTCTTGTGCAGATGTGGCCACTCAGAATGAAGTGGGGCTGTCTCTATCTCAAAAACAAGGAACCTCTGCATTACTCCAACTTGACTGTTTTGTTTTTGTTCTGTTCTAACTAAAGTCTTAGCGAATACACTGAAAGGCATGTTTGTCTGATTAGATTTTTCCAGGCAAAATATCTGTATGCAGACTGTTCTTATGGCAAGGTAATATAGCAAATAACCCTTAAATTCACTTACTTTTTGTTCTGCTTTCTTTTTGGTTTCTGCATCCATCCAGCTAAGTTCATCTAATGTTTTTATAAAAACCTCACGGATATCAGCAATCATATTTTCAACCTTGGAAAAAGCACCAAAATATATAGTAAGACAACATAAAATGACCTAAACACTTTTCCATAGGTCAATCAGGTCACTACAGAGTTTGTCTTGTTACTTTAAACTAACACTCAAGATTGGCCCTAACCTGACTCCTGTCCTGTCCCAGCTCAAATTAAGTAGTGTTTTATCTAAAACTAACTGGCCTGCTGAGGTTGGGAGTATAAGAAGGGAAAATGCTTGAATAATTGCTGACTTTGGAGCTAGTAATGCAGTAGGAACTGCAGCAGTTCAAACTACAATAATTTAACAGACAAGAGCCCAATCACTCAGTACTGCTAATCAAATCACCCCTGGGCATAGCTGCACTGCAGAGAAAGTTGTGTTCTTTATTTGAACTAGTGGTAAAAGAGTAGTGAAGATACAGGTTACCACTTGGAAATAAAGCCTATTGGGATGCTGTGACTTGAATTTGAGGTGCTAATCCAAGTTAAAAGTTGAATTATGGTGCCTACCCTGTTCTTTTAACCTAAGCAAAGGATACTCTTCAAAATGTATCAGTATAATATACTCTTGATGTAGCTTAAGGATTGTTTTGCAGTGTGGTCATTTTCACTCAAGACTAGTTCAAGAGGAGTAACACAAAAATACTCCCTTGATTTTCCTGTAGTAGCATAGACAAGCTCTAAATAGCTGTTCTTGTTATTGCTCAATAAAATATTGAGCACCAAAATATAATCTTCAGGTCACCTTTGTCCACCAGTAGCAAGGTCCCCAAGTAGAAGAAATTAATCAAAATAATTATCTTTACTGTTTAAAGATCTATATATTTAAGCGGCAATTATTTACTGAAGCAAAGTTCAGTTGGGAAGATGAAGTCAATAAACATAAATAATAGATAACGGAATTCATGTCTATACAATAGCCCCTGTAATGATAAGTGAAAGAAAAAAACACGTGTATTTTCAGAGCACCAGAAGTAATAAGAATAGCATTTTAAATAAGCAAAATCACTCTGTTTTTACTGTAAAAATATACCTGATAACATAGTTTAGTATAAAAATTTGGTCAGTTGACTGAAGTTAAACTGATTCAAAACAATTACTTTCAGCCAAGGCAATATGATTCATTGCCTCTCTCTGTAATCTCTACTTGAAAACTTCAGATGTAATCGCAATGGCTTCTTCTCTTCAGTGACATCCTCTCTTACTATCATTTGCTAATGGCTTGATGTACAGGCCTGCAAGAGGTATATAATCGCATCATCACAGGCTACTGACATTGGTGCTTCCCAACATAATGCTGAATAGTATTTTCTTTCCTATTCTTAAGTGAAGTTTTAAAAAGCCTGATCTGGGATTCTTTGTAATTCATATTTCTTTGTATACTGGAACTTCAGGAGAATTACAGCATTATAATGTACTGTACTTTGTAGTAATTCAAAATTATTCATTTATGCTATCAAGATGGTATCTCTTTGTCTGAGCTATCCCTTGGTTAGTGTAGGGAATGGAACAAATCTAATTTTCAGAGACAAATTGTGATGCCAGATGCCTTAATGGTACCCTTCACTTCATTGTCAATCTGAGCACCCTGTAAGCATCTCAAATCAGAATTTGCTTTAGAATTAGGCATCTGAGCTCGTACCAAAATTAAATCACCAATAACTGGGTTTCTACAACTGTAAAATAAAGTTGATATTTACTAAATCATCATCTTGTAAACTTAACTCTTTAGATGGCATATAAAAAAATTGAGTTAAAAACCTTACCACGTGTTTACTCTCTCCAGCAAATGCTTCCTGTACATATAATCGTCCTGCAGCATTTTCCATATTACTATTGACATAGTTTGCACAGCGACGCCAAATAGCAGTTTCCGATGTTGTGCCATACAGTGCCTGTTAAATATAAGATAAAGAAATGACTTCTGAGTAATCATAAGGAGGAGGAGGAGAAGGGTGGCCGATTTCCAGATTGTGAATTTTAGAGGAGGCAACTCTAGTCTCAGTGTGTGCATTTAATTCTCACTGGTCTAAATAGGAGATAGGTGTATTCACTATATAAACTGAACATCCATCACAGGCTGAGCAAAAGTATGAGGGTCATTAACAACATACTACATACCTCCCAGCTTTGGAAAGGGGTAGGGAGGAAAATACCACTAGCAGCCAAGACGGGGAGAGATACAGATGCCATTTGTGCCTGGAACTGAACTGTACCTCCTTATTCTGATAAGGGCCACCGAGATTCGGAGTGGAATCATTTCCAGAGGAGGAAGAAGTTGTTTTTTTCAACGTGGCTTTGGCAGCAGCTACATAGAAACACTACCAGTGGTGTCAGATTAGGGAATGCACCTTGCTAATGCATACCCTAAATATGTGAGCTACACTGCCCCTCCAGACAGAGCCACCCACTTTTGGGATAGCCCTGACTGCTTGCAGCCCCTACTGCAGATTAGTGGAGGTGCAATGATCTCTTGTGCCATCAATTAATGATGTGCTAATTAGCTGCAATTATTCTGTCATAATAGTTCATAAAAAAATTGAGGCTGTGAAGATGGGGTGCAATGCTGTCCCCTTGTAATACAAAGATCATAGCACAAAGAGCATGTTACACTGGGGCCATTTAGTCACTCCCTGGCTTCTCTGTCTTCAAGGCTGCAGACATGTGACTTAATGTACAGAGAGCTACAGTTACACCTTGGCCTGAAATGCTGGTATTGGAAAGAAAGATTGCTGATATGTTCCTCTTCACCCTGATAATAGTAGAAAGAATTAGGAGAGGAAAGACCTTTCAAATGTGTTATCAGTAGAACACAGTAAAGAACTGTCTACTGCAGGGTTCCCTGCAGACCTGCATTGTTGGAGCTATTCCATGATTCTGTGATTCAGCATGGCTAAGAATAGCTGAATAGAAAAGCAAATCCTCCTATTTCTAATGCGCTTCTTCCCATTCCAGACATGCTGCACACATACATGAGAAGGAATATGCTTGTAATGCAATATAGACACTGCGGAGTGGAGGATTGTTAATTTTTAACCACCAAGAATGGGACAGAGAAAAAACAAACCCAACCCCCTCTGCAAAGCAAAACTCAAAATCAGAGCAAAACAAAATAATTGTGACTGTAATTGTACAGATGATATACTATAAAATCAGAGAGATGATATACTAGAAGATCAGGAATAGGGATTCAGCAGATAAGCCAAGATATGCCCAGCACAAGTTTGATGGGAGATCAGGGAAGGTGGTACATTGCTGCTCAGGTGTATGCCAGCTTCCCATGACCCAAAGGGGTTGTCGCTGGAGCTGTTTATCAGGCCACAGGTTGCAGCCCAGCACTTGGCTGGCTAGGAGGGGTTATTCTGGTTCTTTGCCAGCCAAAGATTTATTTGCAACAGAAGAACCCACAAGTCACCACCATTAAGCCTGATTTGCTTTGCCAGTTGCTGCATCATCTACTGAATCTGCCCCTAGAAATCCATTAGGCTTCATATAACAATGGAAACACATCTGCTTTGCCTATCACTACAAATGGCATCAAACTGAAATCAATTACTGTAGATTCATACATTTAATATGGCTTAATTCAGATGCATTAGAAACAAACCACTGAAATTCATTAGGTTATTATGCATAAATTCTCAATCCCAATGTTACATTACTACAACTTTTCCTATTATTATTTAAAATACAGAAAATACATTTTAAAGGGAAGGTGCCAGTGTGTTTCTTTAAAGAGAAAAATAATTCACAGTTTTATATTCCTGTTGCATTAAGAACTAATTAGGACCGCCAGGCTATATCAAAAGCTTTTTCACTGTTTTTGTAAGCTTCTCTCTGCTGAAATGGCAGTTTTCAGCAACTGTTATGGTTCAGACTGACAACTTGTCCCCTAGGAGCAGAATGGAATGCCAGTGAGCCAGGTACTGTGTCCTGTCTTTCTAACAGCAGTAGTCTTATTTGAATAAATAATCTAGTAATCTTTAGGGGCTTTTTTTGGCTGAGATCCTCAAAGTAGTGGCAACAGGTCTGATGATCTTTCTGCTAGGGCTTCATGACTCTCAATTGCATATATCAAGTACTCTAAATCTGAGCTTCAGACATATGACATCTTGAAAGAGTAAGTGACTAAATTGTCAAACTTTCCAAGAAATATGGTAGGGATGATTCAGGGGAAGAAATAAGTGTTCTGAAGTGTTTATATCTGAAGACACTCTAGTGAAGCAAATCCTAACCAGCTGACACTCAATTTGAAACTCCAGTTTTAGAAGTGCGTGTGTGTGTGTGCATGCATGTGGTGTATGTAGCATCATACCAATTACTTTTAGCAAATTAGTAGAAAAAAACTTATATATTTACATGTAAAGTATATCTTTAAAGCCTAGAATTTTGTTAATTCTAAATCAAATTTCTTCAGGGATGTCTCAGATACTTGCCCTCCATGGGCACATCTACATATGCAATTAATGCAGCTGAAAAAGCTCTGGCACAGTGCACATAGGAGTTTATTGCTCCTGGGTGCTATGTTTGCATGTACGCCCAGGATCACAGCACATTGAGCTGGGATGCAGCAGCCCCAGTTGGCAGGGGGCCCAGGAGGTCATCTTGCCAGCCCAATGCTGTTCTTCCCCTACTCAACATGCGGTGGAGGGGTTGGCTAGCTGGCAGTCAGCCCCTGCACTGAAGCACTCTTGTGCTCCAGCCAGCTACCTCAGCATCTACACATTTTGTGGCAGAGTAAATAACTCCACCATAGGATAGTATCTGTGTCTGGCAGTACTATCCTATGGCAGACTTAATGAGTTTTCTCCATCCTAATAGCACCACATGTGTAGATGGTGACATTTTACTGCGGAGCTATTGAGTCAACTCTGCAGTAAACGTCTCATGTAGACAAACCCAGTGATGAATAAAACTAGAGCAAATGTCTTACACTAAAAAAGGCTTATACTAGAATAATTTCTAAGAGTACAAGAAGTAGCTGAATAATTATGAAAACTATTATATTCAGAAGTACCCCGAATGATCAACTAGAAGGTTACTCCTCCCTTCCCCATACTTCACTACTGTGCTAAGAATAATCAGAATATTTACCCCCTGTGCCAAAGTGATTCTTTTTCCAGAAAACAGAGAGGGGTGTGTGTGTATGCATAAGTGCTTTCTCTACCATGGCCATAGGTCACTAATAAACTAAGACCATAAACCAGGTTTGTTTCCTTTTTATGGGCACCAATCTTATACAGTAGTAAAGTTTGCTTGGAAGGTTTTGAGGACCCTCGACTCCCATCGAAAATAGAGAGGTAAAAGTGCTTAGCACCTAGCAGAAGCACTCACATCTAATAGGACTGAACCATTTAATGACAGCAATATTGGATCTATAATGTTTGGCTCCAGCATCCAATATTGTTAAGTAGTCAACAACTTGCAGCAAGTCAATTGGAAGTAAGGAGCCTGTCGCAGAGCACCAAGGTGCCCTGCTCTTAGAGGGGCAGAAACTGCCAGAGGAAAAGCTCTGGCAGGGAATAGGAGCCCACCTGTGGGTTGCTGGGGGCAACTAATGAGAGTCAGCTGGCTGGAAGGGGCAGGGCCTGGCCCTTATAAAGCCCAGGGCTGAGGCCAGACAGGCAGTTCCCTGCTAGCAGCCAGAGAGGCAGGAGTTCTCTCAGCCATGACACAAGAAGCAGTGAGAACCGCAAGTACTGCTTGAGAAGAGTTACAGAAGGCAGCTCGGGAGGCTTGAGCCGGGGTATTAAGTTATAGCCAGGCGGCTTCAATTTGTGTTACAGCCTAGGGGCTTGTGGTTTTGGCGTTATTATTTATTAAACTGGTGGTTTGGGTGAGGCTATAGGGGTTGGAGGAGGCCTCATTGGGGACTCACAACAGAGGGTGAGGACCCCAGCACCCGTGTGGGTGCAGCATACTCATAGGGACCCACAGTGGTGTGGGGGCCCTAGTGCTAGAGAGGGTGCAGTGTATGCAGGGGGGGAACCCACAGTGACATGTGGACCCTGGTGCCAGTGAGGGTGCAGCTTACAGGGGTGCTTAGACCCCAGCCCCAGAGAGGGGGTGTTTAAAGAAGCCCAGTACAGGCGTAGCAAGCCCTAGAGAGGGGCAACTTTGAGAAGCCCAAGTTGGGCACAACGAGCCCCAGGAAGGGGCAGCCTTTTTAAGAAGCCCAGTGTGGGCGTAGCAAGCCCCAGAGCGGGGCAACTATTGAGAAGCCCCAGTGCGGGCGTGACGGCCCCAGGAAGGGGGCAATATTTTAGAAGCCCAAGTGTGGGTATGATGAGCCCCAGGGAGGGGGCACTATTGAGAAGGCCCCGAGAGGGGGCGACGGCATTGAGAAGCCCAATACGGGTGTGATGAGCCCCAGGAAGGAGGCAATACTTTAGAGGCCCAGGTGTGGGCGCGGAAAGCCCCAAGGAAGGGGGCGGCATTTTAGAAGCCCGAGTGTGGGCGCAGAGAGAGCCCCAGAAGTGGGGGCATTATCGAGAAGCCCCAGTAAGGGCATAGCAGGCCCCAGGAGGGGGCACTATTGAAAAGGCCCAGACCACGTAGAGAAGGCCCCGGGAGAGGGTGACGGCGCGGCGAAGGCCCGAGTGGGCAAGGAGAGCCCCAGGAGGAGGCGTCGGTGTACAGAGAGAGACAAACCAACATCTATCCCATCTCTGGGGTGTGGTATCAGGGGTGGTTGGAGCCACACGTAGCCCATAAGGCTAGGGTGCCCTGAAGCACCCATTTGTGCTGGACAAGATCCACAAGGGGTCCAGGAGTCTACGTGTGCAAGAGGGCATAAGGCAGCCTCCCAACTTAACTTAAGATCAAAGACGTGGCGGGTGAGAATAGAGGGTGCCCTTGGGCCGACTTGACACGGAGAGGGGGCCTCAAGGAGATCACGGCCCTCCTGCAGGACGCCGCTGTGACAGAGCCATATATATTTGCATTAAAATAGTCCTGTGCTGTCAGAAAATGTTCATAAAACCAACTGATTAACTCGGACTCAGAACAACATAGACCCAGATGTCAGGACAATATTTCTCAGACTTGTTTTCCAATAATTAAGAATACACCATATAAATTAAACACATCCCAGCAGGAGCATCAGCAAACATCTGGAGCTTAGTGCACTGCAAAGTTCACATTGCATTTAAAACAGATATATGGTATAGTATAGTCAATCTTTTGTGGATGTTAAAAAGTCATCTTTAAAATTTTAAAGAGATTGATTTCTGCACCTTACGAAAGGCATTCCTTGTGTCTTTGTAGTCACGGCTGAGACTGTTTACAAGATCCATTATGAATCGCCAAACCATGTAATTTTGAATGTCTCTGTATAATAAAACAACAATAAGAAGTTGATGATGTTTTTAGGCTTTTAGAATTTATTGCTGATAAAATGCAAATTCTAAAATCATGCCCTTCATACCTACCTGGGAGTATATTGGTTAAGAATAGACTTGAGTTTGATTAGATATTCTGGAGCGTAAACAACCACAGGTTCCATATTCTCAACATTAATTTGCACAGTTGACATGATATTATTTATGAATTTTGACCAGTTGAATTCCTGGAAAAAATATACAGTTTAAGTATAAGCATTATTAAAAAAGAATGTGATTATTACTATTTTTTTTTTTTTCTGGCCACTGCTTTTAAGATTCAAGTATGTTTGAATGAAACAAATGTTTCAGACCAAAAGTTAGTGTTTTTCTTTGGAAAACACATTGTTATAACAAATGAAACAATAATGGAATTATGCACAGATTGCCCAATAACCTCTAAGCAGGTTATTATTAAAAATAGAAAAGCCAAAAAAGTAGAATAGAAATGTGAATAGCAGGTTCACGCCTGCACAGAACAAACTATTTGGGTACAGTGTAGCTCTCTAGCAAGGCTGTCTAGAACACGGGCTTCCCTCATTCTGGCTTTCATAAAATGTATCCACACAAATTCCATGTCTTCTACATATGATAACAGATTGCACCTCTGCGGTATGGGGGTAATTACACCCTAAGATCAGAGTAAAGTAGCTTTCCCCCTTTCTCTTCTGATTAATAACTCCATATCTTTAGGCATTTACAATTGAAGAGCCCTACATAGCTTTTGTGGGCTAATATCTAACAAAATTACTTTCTGTTAAATAAGGATTTTATTATATGAAGCCCTTACACAATGCATAATGCATTGTTTTAAAATGTGAACTCTCTAAAATTGAAACTCTAACTGAAAAATCCTTGACTAGGCAAAATATTATTGTTCACGGTTATATTTTGGTCACTATCTTTTGCTCTAGAAAATAGATGGATTGCTGGATTGGTGAGAGGATATAGAATATTTCACCATTAGGTCACTCAATACTGATGGAATTTGACCCACATGCAGCAGTAGTTACCTAAAGTTGTTGACAGCTGGAGTGTGCACAGTGGGTTATATGAAATAAGTTCCTTGTCTCCTTCTAGTATGCAGTGGGAATGTATTTGTACTTTAAGGCCAACAGTCACCACATCTGATAACAATATGTCATTTTTCTTTATAGAGGAAATAAAGGTCAAGGCATGAGTGAGAAGAAAGGGTAGTATATTCTCCAACCACCTAAAGGTGTTCTCTCTCAGTTGGTATTACAAAATATTGGCAGGCTATTTGGGGAAAATTTGCAATGAGATCACCTAATTTCCTTGCCTGTTTCAAAAACAGTGAGTTTAATTTTCTAATGCTGTTAATGTGACCCTTTCATGTGTATTGACTCATCCTTTTTTGACTTTAGCCTGTGTGTTACTGATTATCAGCTAAGTAGTACTTAACTCCTTCAATTATTTGAAATCTCAATTGATGTTCAAGGCACTGAAGACCTTGCAGAATTGAAACATGAGACAAAAATCTTCATTCATCTCTTCCCTGTCAGTTGATGGCGTGCCAATTTTAATTACAAAAACAGTGGACATTCACTGCTTCATATAGAATGTCATGTGGCTTGTTAAAACGTCCACATTGGCCTCAAATTCTGTATTTCGTTCCGTTTAGTATTCATGATTACAGGCAGCCTACAGAGCATCTGTGGGCTGCTATGAAGACTGAGAGGAGAAATTGAAAATCTTTTGGGAAAATATGTATGCCAAAAGAATTCAATGTTTTCATCAAATCTGTTAAATCTGTTCTTTAAATAATGGAAAAGAAGTTACTGTGTCTAGGAAATGCAAATCATCTTTCTATTAAATACAACACCTAAAGAAGAACAGACATTTTTCAGTCAACAAGATCTGCCACTTATTTTGGGAAGTAGGGAAGTAGATTGTTCTCAATCAGTGCCTTTCAAAGTATTCTTGGCTGGACTTGCAGCAAGCAGGCTGTTGTTCATCACCAGAATTCCCCAGGAATTAAAAATAAGCAAGCTAATGTTGTTTTGTGAACAAACAAAATAACTTCCTGATAACAAGGCTCCTGTGGGGTAACTGTTCAAATAAAATCTGTGGGTGTAGACAACTCCTACAACATGGAAATATGATAACCTGAGCTAAATTTAACTTCTATGTAGTTTTAAGTTTGGGCAATTTAAGGTCAGTAAAAATCTTAAACATTAAGAAAGATGTTACATAACACATGTACTGATGGGACTCACAGTAATTCAGAGTATATTACCAGCATGGAAGGAATTAGTAATACTTCTAACAAATGATGTCACAGGTCCAAGTCCTTTTCTAGCAACATACTAACTAACCTAACCATAGCATTTTTTATCATTTACTGTGTGCTACAGAAAAGAGTTACTTGTATGATAGTGATATGGGGAACTTCCTTCTTGATGAAGGAACACCCATATTGACACCCCCTGGAAACTCTTTGGCTGGGCTATATGGTAATGCTACTGGAAGCTCTGTTTTCCAAGTTAATGCTGCCCAAAATAAGAGAGAGTATGGAGTTCTACCACTCTGAAGGAGCTAGTAGGGATATATCTTGCTGAGCCCTAGCTGGAACTTCCTTTGCTTCTCTCTGCCTGATGTAAGCACATTTCCATTTGAGATGGAAGATGAGGGGGAGAAGATTAAGAATGTAAAGCTGTTCTTCCACAAAATCTGCAAAGGGCTAGTGCCTTCTCTTCCACCAGGATTAAGTTGGTACATGATTTTCAGATATCAGCTTTGATGACAAAGACCTACACACCTTTTTAATGAGAAATGTCCTGTGCCTCTGACCCTGACAGTGCAGTGGTGGGAGCAAGGCCAGTCACAATATGTGCTGTTTTTACCTATTAAATAACTTTCCAATAATCTTGAGCTAAGGTTTCAAGATAACACCTTTATTTTTAATTCAGGCACTCCAAAGTTTTTAAAGAAAAGCTTTGTAATGTTACATAGTTTCATTTATCAAGAACAGGTATTGAAAAGCACTGGATTATTGATCACTCACCATACTATTGACTTGCAAAGTGAAGTTCTTTTGGAGTTGTGTCACTGTCATTTTATTATATAACAGAATTGGATCATTTCTGTCTTCAAGTTTAGTTGTAGCCTATGAATGTTAATTACAGAAAATGACTGTATAAATGGAAGCATTTTATAGGAGCCACAGGAAAAGAAATTAAAAACAATATATAAAAAGGACTGATGGATGTCTGATCTGATACATTAATACATACATGTGCTTTGTGTATAGTACATAGTAGGTACACCTACAAGTTCATTGATGTACTGTAATTATTGTACATTAAATTTAGTACTTGTTTAACTGAGTACTTGGATAACCAAGTACTAAATCAATAAGCAGTAGCTTGCAGTACTGTGCAGTAGCACCGGAGTATGGGTTTTTAGTGATACTTACTGTGCAGTAGCCTAATACTACTGTGGAGTAGCATATTAGCATGGTTTTTGCCTGGCATGCTACTGCACAGTGTTATTAGGCTACTGTGCAGTTAGTGTCTCATGTAGATGTGCCCAATGTAGCTAAGCGCCTTGCATGTGTACATGGCAGTATATGTTATAAGCATGACTCCAAAAAGAAACAAATTATATGGACTATATTGTATTATATTAATACTACACATTAATATTACTCTATTAATACTTCTCCTTTTTCAACTGGCTTTGCATCATAGTGCCAATATTATAGCATCTTCCAAATACTCCCTTACTCCATTTAGCTACCTCCAACCCTTTCTCACACAATAAATATCCTTAGTCAAGGTCCTTCAACAGCCATCTGGCACACATTCTTTGTCCCCAATGGTTCCTCTCTCCCAGTAGCATATTATGGGATGGGCAGCTGGGACACCAGCCCCGAGCACTGATTTAGAGGAGGAGGGTTTCAAAATGGTGGCAGCAGCATCCAGAATGAAGACGTCATATGCAAGGCAGTCAGAGTGTTTGAGATCCCATACTGAGCTAATGGTCAGGTAAGTCCTTCCAGTGCCTCGCACACCTTTCCCTCCTCCTCCCCATCTCTGCTCAGGTTACCAAATGCAGTATCAAGAGGGAGTGAAAAAACAATGAAAAGAAAATGGGCTATACCTCTGTTCTCTTCACTCCTATATTTTCACCTGCCCATACAGAAATCCCTTTGTACTGACGTAAAAGGCAGGACAGAAACTAGTAGACAGGCACTGCCTCTCTCCAACATAGCCAAGTGCCTACCCAGCTGCAGCACAGAACAAGGAGGGGCTGTTTCTCTGCCCTTTGGCCTTCAGGATGCTATAATATTGCTGACCCTCTGCCTCTTGCTACTGAGGCTTTTGCTATTTCATTTCAAAGAGTAAAGTATCATCTGGCACTATCAGGACCCTGCCTCCCTTTCTTATTTGGCTATTAGAATGGTGAGATGACAAAATAGAAAACAAAGAGAAATCACAGTGGGAACAGAGTGGACTCACTAAAGGGATTATTTTATCCATGGTAGTACTTTCAGTACCACTTTCTGCCCTCAGTTTAGGATGTGTGCTGCTATCGGCACAGTTGATTTGGCTAGAGAAGGAATGGAAAACTTTATCTATGCCATCATTTTTTAAAATTAAGAACACATTTTCTTCCATCCCTGAGACTTTGAAATCATTTCCTTTTTACTGATTTTTTTCACTCCCTTTTCCTGCTACATTCCTTACTCTTGCTTACTCATTTGATATTTTTCTCTGCATTTTCTTTTTCATTTGTTTCCTTCAGTGCAGTGAAGACTCCCTTCTTTTCATGTTCAGTCTGTACACCTTTCAAATTTAGGTGAAGCAAGTTCAAAATTAGGCAACAGTAGCTTGCCCATCACTAAGTGTGGCCTATGCCAGTAGTGAGTGTTACATGTTTCAGATGTAGTTTTGCTTCTAATATTTCTTTTCACACCCTCAAACCTTTCTTCAGTAAAATTTTTTTCATTGATCATTTTTCCATCTTTGTTCTCAGCTCAAACCTGTGTTTGTCTGGAAAGTTAGAAGACAATCAAAATCTTCTGGTTTTTATTTATGCAAAGGGGGAGAAGTCATAGTCTGACTAGGAAACACATACCCTTATTCACTGGTATAACTAAAAGATGGCTGAAATTACAGAACTCAGCCCTGAGAGATCTGATAATCTGTAAGGGCCAAAAACTACTCCATGTTGTATGAAAGGGACAAGAGTTGGTAACTTACTCTTCTGACAACCAGAAGTTAAGAAAGATGGCAAAAAAATGAGTAACCCTACAAAGTGCTTTTTCTTAAACCGGTTATATGTAGGGGGTCTACTTTATTTGCAGTTTTGTGGTTTTCACAGAAACCATGAAAAATAGTGTTGTCTGCAATCGCCAGAAAATATTGTAGTGACAGTTTCCCACAAAATCAACCTAAAAAAACTTTAAAAAAATATATTAATATAATATGCTGTCTTAGAATGTGTCAATGCTTACAATAAGGCAAAGACAATGTGACAATCATTGCAGCCACAGAGCATGTAATTAAATTAGTTTATGTCACTAACAGACCTGAACTGAAGGAGTCGGTCAGTGAAGTGAAAATGTTTGTGCGCCATCTTTTAAGTTCAAACTTGATACCAATGTCCCTTTGCCAATCAGCAGCAAGGGGCAAGGCCAGCAGGAAATTCACATGAAACCGGCTCATCATGCTGGGACCAAGCTGTGAAAATTGCTTTGTCTCGCTATGAGTTTAGTAGACCCCTAGTTACGTGGGAACCAAGTCTCCCTCTCTTTACCTACAGAAGTTGTGATGGGTTGAAGTAAACATCCTGCTGGTTGGGAGCAAACAGATAGCTTATTTTTCTTTTCTTTTCTCAATAATGAGCACCTCCAAGGATATGGGAACCACATTTGAGTGTTGGGCTCCTGTACTATGGAACAAAATTTGTCTGCATGCTATCATCTTAGCTTTCACAGTTAAGGTAACTTGACAACTTGATGTGTAACTTGCTTTCCTGCATATCCCCTGTATATTCCCTTCACTCCAGAAGGAAGTCCGTTACTTAAATTCACAATAAAGAAATATTTCCTTACATTGGCAATTTCTTTCTCCAGCTGCATAACTCTTTCCATTTCTTTGGAAATCTGGACCTCAGTGATGGGAAGATTTCTTTCCTGAAGAATCAGCTTAGCTACAGAAATCATGAAAGCAACATAGGCTGAACACGCCTGCAGGGAGAAATAATAAATACTTTCAAGACAAACCTCTTCAGAGTACAGCATATCTTATGTGGGATATTTTAAAACTCTAATTTTGATTTGAATTAGTGTTCTGGACTCCTTTTTTAGCCACATGTATACAAATTCACTCTGAAAGGCTCTTTACATAACAATGAAAAATTAACCTTAATTTTTTTCCCTTATTGAAATTGTTATATAGTTGCCTGCAAGTTAGGGGAAGCATTCTAAAACTGCATACTTTGCTTTTATTATTTAAAATGATATATTTACTAGTCCATAATTAAATCCTATCACCCCTGAATTTCCAGGAATTCTCTGAAATTTCCTAAGCAGATTATTTTAGTTAAAATTTCTGGGAAAAGTGATCCCAGAAACATGAAAATGAGAATCCTAGTGCGTTTATTCCTGTACTGGTGCTTTTTGGATATCATTTCCAAAAACAATGATTCATTATAGTCAAATATCTACTGTATCTTTCATGGGGATTTTATAGAACCCTGTGTGCTTGATAGTTTCTCAGTCTTTGGTCTAGCTAACCACTATGTATTCATTATTCATGCATGCACATATTTCATACGAGACCACAAAGACTCAGAAAATATTTTATATCATTTGCATATAAACTATTCAACCAACAGTTTTGCAGCTCCTATTGGATTTACTTCATGGATGAGTCCTAAGGAATTCGGCAGAAAATGATAACCTTTCCATTGGTCTTTTTGGATCATTCGGCATAATTTAATACAAATTAATAAGGTTATCTTTAAAGCAGTTATAAATATAGAAATAATGTGATTCTATAGTACTAAACTTTTATAGAATCCTGCTCTATAGAACTATTCCTGTTAATTTTGGGGGCCTATTCCATAAAGGAACATGAGGTAGAAATTTATTACCGTATGCTTTCTGGCAATTCCCATCCCTGATGAGAATCCTGGTTGCCACACAAGCCATTTATGAAAATATAAATAGGTTAAACTACATAAAGACAAAAACAATAGGATTTTAAAAGGTGTATCTATATAATTGCATTTAACATGGGATGTTTGAATATCTGCTATCAACTTGTTTAAATCTGTACCCTGAAATGAAAAAATCAGATGGATATTCTACTGAGTGCTTGAAAAACCATGCCTCGGCTATTACTATCTTCCCTGGGCCAATAATTCACCTGGCACCAGCTATTATGCACTCCGGGCCTCAACCTGCAAAGTACTTCATGCGTCCTGTATAGCACTGACCATCGATTCCACTGAGAACTGGTGATAGCACCTCTCAGGATTGGGAAATCAAAGATACTTCTTCTCAATGTCTTGAGTTGTATAAGAACACTTCAACAGAGAGGAAATGGGCTGAAGTTCCTGATCGCTAAAATGACAAGTAACAAAGAGGGTCCCTGTCAAGCTTATGAATACTTCAAGAGTATCAGCATCTGTCCAGACTGTTAAGCTTTCCATGAGGCTTGATTCAAAATCCACTGAAACTAGTAGGAGCCTGCTGATTATGTAACTTGAAGATCACTGCATACCTCCCTGGGTCAGTCAGAACAGCCAAAGGATGAAATCAACTGATCTCTAGATACAACTCATAAATAGGTCCTAGTTATTGCGCAGTCATCTCAAAGGCCATGCAGGGGTCAAAATAACTGCACCAACAATTAATAATTAACAATTTATGAGCAGCAATTATTTAAAAATATAAAACCCTCACTCATATATTCATAGCGTGTATTCCTGATACAGATGAAAACATTCAGGTTAAAGTACAGGAGACAGATGTCCTCTTTGCTACATAAAGCTCAA